TAAAATAGCATGCAAAATGGTCCAAAAGCTTAAGCAAGAATGGGGGTTTAAAAGGTTAAAAGCTCACCCTTGAAGACCCTCTTTAAAGCTGCAACTCTAACAACTTTTCTGAGTTCAAACCAGTCCAAGAGCTCCAAAAACAACTTCAAGGGACCTCAGCTCCAAGAGTATGGTGTTTGAGTGTGTGTTTGTGTACAAAAGTGAGACAAAATTACAATTTAAGGCACAAAACAAGAGCAAAATGAAGAAGTATAGATATAGATTATATGTATCACTCAAGCACACTTTTTCTGAACCTAGAGGAGGGAGGAGGAGCCTCTCTCTTATAGAGAGCAAAAGCACAAGCTTCTTCAAGAAGCTAAGGCTCAAGGCCATCCCTCCATACACGTGTATAGAGGATGGTTCTTGTGCTCTCCAACTGTGCCAGCTGGCCAAAAATATCTTCAAAAAAGTGACAAAAAGCAGCCGACCACTTGAAGTGGTCAGCTAGCTACTTAAAGTGGTCGGCCGACCACTTTAAGTGGTCTCCCAAGAATACAACTGGTCGGCCATGGTGGGAGATGGTCAGCAGCATGAAAACAAGCAAAAGGTGTGGTGGTCGACCAGAAAAGATGGCTCAAAAACCAAAGAGACCAGTTGTCAGATCAGAAAACTGGTTGACCGGAAGAAAAGTGGTTTGCGGGGAGAGAAATTGATCTCCCACCCTTGTACTAGCTTCCAAACAAGGAAAACAAGGTTTGTACAAAAAACAAACCAAAACGGATGCAAGACGAGAGTTTTAGAGGCAAAATGCGCAGCTGGGAGCCTCGAAAAGTAGCTGACAAGCACCAAAAGTGGTTTACGACCACAAAAATGGTCTCCCAAACCACAGTGGCCCTCTAGGCCAAGGAAACAAGGTGTGGTTCAAAAATCACGCCAAACGGAGAATGTTAAGCGGTCTCGAGACAAGGCGTGCGACCGAAGGCTCCGAAAACTAGAAACTAGTCTCCAAACGGGAAAAAGTGGCCTACGACCACAAAAAGGGGTTTACAAGACCTCTCCTTCTCTCAGGCAAGGAAAACAAGGCTTGGTCCGCAAACCGAGTCAAAGCACAAAGAGTTCAAAGGCTCGGAGGCAAGGCTCTCAGCCAAAAACTCCAAAACCTCGAAATGAGCACAACATGCACTATCACTGAGCGCTCAATCGATGACGTCTGAGTCTTAAGATCGGTCAAAAATGGGGTGTCTATAGGGGGTCTCTTGTTGAGTATATATCACATAACAGACACAAACATAACAACCCTTTCTTAGCAGTCGTTGGGCTGTCATGAAGGATATAATACACGGAGGGGAAGAGGGTCCAGTTCCTTCGAAGACAAACTCAAGTTGGTTTGGTGACCGGAGGAAGACCTTTTTGGCTTCACAATAGATAGAGACACGGTGGGCAGCTAACCAATCCATTCCTAAGATCACATCAAAGGTACTAATGTAGAGGGGAATAACAAATCTACATGTAAGGTTTCACCTTTTAAGGATATAGTACAAGATTTGTACACATTAGGACTAAGGGCGGAATTACCAGAACGAAAAGACACAAACAATACATATCCTAAGGGTTTAGGTGTTGATGCCAACTTGGTAGCAAAGTGTGGTGTAACAAAAGAATGAGTTGAACCAGAGTCAAAGAGAACATGGGCTGAGTGACTACAAACAGAAAGTGTACCTAACACAACGTTCTTTGTAACTTCTGGGTTTCCAAGCACCAAGGCAAAAGCTCTTCCTTGGCGTTTTTGGTCTTTTCTAACTCCTCTAGATACTGCGGGTTTTCGGACTGGTTCAGAGGGGCCGACTGTAGGACTGGTGAGCTTCGGACAATCTCTCAGTAACTGGTCAACTTGGCCACATCTAAAGCATGCTCCCGTATCTCGACGGCATTGTCCCCAATGAGTCCTTCCACAGGTAGTGCAAGCTGGAATGGTGCCACCTCTGGGGTTTGTAGGACCTTGATTGCTTGAATTGATTGAACTGGTTGCGCTCGTGTTTACTCTCTTGGAAGGCGCGACACCGGGTCTTCTGTTATCTCTTTCCCAAAATCGCTTCCTCTAGCTTGGTTCCTCGGAGTGCAAGACTTTAATCCCTTTTTTTGCAATGTAAACTCGATCTACCTCCACCACATAGGTTGGTAGTTTCAACACCTCCAGCCTGTCTTTAATTTTAGGATCCAATCCTGCTTCAAATTTTCTGGCTTTTCGAGCTTCGGTGGGGATGACGTATGTCGCGAACCGGGCCAGCTGCGTGAACTTGCTCTCGTATTCGGCCACTGTCATGGTTCCTTGCCTTAGATGTATGAATTCCGACGCCATTTGTTCCTGCAGCGAGTCTGGGAAGTATTTTTCATAGAATACTTCCAAGAATCTGGCCCAAGTCACAACATCTTCTTTCTCCAGGGTAAGTAGCCACCATTTTTGTGCATCATCTTTGAAGGTGAAGGTGGCAAAAGTCACCTTCTGTTTTTCTATGCAAGGTAGCGCGCGGAAAATTTTCTCCATATCTCTGACCCAAGGTTCTGCCACCAGTGGGTTTGTGCTGCCGGTAAATATGGTAGGTCCTAGAACCGTTTTATAGTAGTTGGTTCTTCTCGTCGTTCAGGCAATCCGCTATTAACGTTGGTTTGTAGGGCTCGTAGAAAACTAGTTACTGTTCTTTCCATGATTTGCTCCATTGGATTAGTACCACTGACTGATGATCTAGTTCCATTTCCATCATTAGCCATCAGTACAAGGTGAAAACGGTTAGTGGACTTCCCTTTTTGTTGTTGTTGTTGTTGTTTTTTTTTTTTGAATCAATTATTATTGCAATATTATATCTATGATTCATAACGATCCCATAACAGCATATATATCCAATACATATATCAATTACATAATACTGGTTTTACTTATATAAGGAAAAGATATCAGTACAACATACTTAGATAACGATCAAGTGTTAGTGTCTAATCCTACTGATACAAAATTGGATTAGGCTAATCACGGTTAGGTCACAAAAGGATCTCCTGGTCGGACATCTAGAAGGGGCCGTTAGGCCACCACCATGAGAACTGACTCCGGAAACCTGGCCCATGAAATAACCCCGCAAACTCACTCTGCATGAGGGACTCGAACTCCCACCCACTGTGCTCTATTCCAAAGCAACTCCATACCACATGGACTATGTAAACAGGAACACCATGATCATAACCCCAAAACTCCCGTCCGGTAATTTGTATCGGTACCTCCAAGTATGATGCACTGTCAGTGAAGTCCATAGCTGAGGCATGGACAAAGTGCTGTGGAGGAGGTGTCGTGGGGCGGATGTGGCTGCTAGGATACACGTGTCCCCTCCTCTTCGCAATGCCTAGGGGTAGAGGTGCGACCAGAAAATGCGGTTGTTCTAGGTCCAGAGAAAGACCAACGACGTGGGTCGGTCCTATGTACCTCTCACAAGTGTTGCCTCGACTAAGTCTCCAGAATAAGAAATCCTCATCGGGGTTCGCCTGTAAATACACGGGTCGTCCCATGAGTCAGTCGAGTGCCAGGTGGGCTTGCCTGACAAGACTCTCCGAATCACCCCAGCCCTCTAACAAGTTTGGGACAAGATGAGCTCCTGGGGGCTCGAACCAAAACAACTCCATAAGGTTGGTCATTTCTTACAACACAAGAAAACTTAGCCTAGACATTAGAACATGGTTTACTTGTGTTAGACATACCACATAATATCAAATAATACAAGGTTAATAATTTTCTTTTTGAAATATATATATATATATATTTTGCATTTCAAATAATGTGATTGTCAACTAATGTAAATAAAATTAATGTGAATAAGTGTACATGAAATTTCAAAAACATACAATTTTGTTTTATAATTTTTTTTTTTTAAAAAAAAAAAAAAAAAAAAACCATTGCCCTGATACCACTTTTGTCACAACTTAAACCCGATACCCAAAGGCTCGACGTTGTAACAAGAAGAAAATAAAATAATTCATGCCACTTTTGATAATATGGGGTATCTCTAACACAAGTAAACCATGTTATAATGTCTAGGCTAAGTTTTCCTGTGTTGTAGGAAATGGCCACTCTTATGGAGTTGTTTTGGTTCGAGTCCACAGGAGCTCATCTTGTCCCAAACTTATTAGAGGGCTGGGGTGATTCGGAGAGTCTTGTCAGGAAAGCCCACCCGACACTCGACCGACTCATGGGATGACCCATGTATTTGCAGGGGGACCCCGATGAGGATTTCTTATTTTGGAGACTTAGCCGAGGCAGCACTCATGAGAGGTACATGGGACCGACCCATGTCGTTGGTCTTGCTCCGGACCTAGAACAGCCGCATTTTCTGGTCGCACCTCTATCCCTAGGCTTTGCGGAGAGAAGGGGACACGCATATCCTAGCAGCCACATCCGCACCACGACACCTCCTCCACAGCACATTGTCTATACCTTAGCTGTGAACTTCACTGATCGTGCATCATACTTGGAGGTACCAGTACAAATTACCAGACGGGAGTTTTGGGGTTATGATCATGGTGTTCTGGTTTACATAGTCCAGGTGGTATGGAGTTGCTTTGGAATAGAGCCCAAAAGGTGGGAGTTCGAGTCCCTCATGCAGAGTGAGTTTGCAGGGTTATTTCATGGGCTAGTTTTTCGGAGTCAGTTCTCATGGTGGTGGCCTAACGGCCCCTTCTAGATGTCCGACCAGGAGATCCTTTTGTGACCTAACCGTGATTAGCCTAATCCAATTTTGTATCAATAGGATTAGACACTAACACTTGACCGTTATCTAAGTATGTTGTACTGATATCTTTTCCTTATATAAGTAAAACCAGTATTATGTAAATGATGTATGTATTGGATATATATGCTGTTATGGGATCGTTATGAATCATAGATATAATATTGCAATAATAATTGATTAAAAAAAAAAAAACAACAACAACAACAACAAAAAGGAAAGTCCACTAACCGTTTTCACCTTGTAGTGATGGCTAATGATGGAAATGGAACCGGATCATCGGTCAGTGGTACTAATCCAATGGAGCAAATCATAGAAAGAACAGTAACTAGTTTTCTGCGAGCCCTACAAACCAACGTTAACAGCGGATTGCTTGAACGACGAGAAGAGCCAACTACTATAAAACAGTTCCAAGACTTGAAACCTACCATATTTACCGGCAGCACAAACCCACTGGTGGTAGAAGCTTGGGTCAGAGATATGGAGAAAATTTTCTGCGCGCTACCTTGCACAGAAAGACATAAGGTGACTTTCGCCACCTTCACCTTCAAAGACGATGCACAAGAATGGTGGCTACTTACCCTGGAGAAAGAAGATGTTGTGACTTGGGCCAGATTCTTGGAAGTATTTTATGAAAAATACTTCCCAGACTCGTTGCGGGAACAAAAGGTGTTGGAATTCATACATCTAAGGCAAGGAACCATGATGGTGGCTGAATACGAGGGCAAGTTTACGCAGCTGGCCCGGTTCGCGACATACGTCATCCCCACCGAAGCTCGAAAAGCCAGAAAATTTGAAACAGGATTTGATCCTGAAATTAAGGACAAGCTAGAGGTTTTGAAACTACCAACCTATGCGGCGGTGGTAGATCGAGCTTACATTGCAGAAAAAGAGATAAAAATCTTGTGCTCCGGGGAACCAAGCTAGAGGAAACGATTTTGGGAAAGATTTTGATAAAAAAAAAGATATAAATCTTAAAAAGAAAAAAAATTTAAAAAAAAAAAACAACACATCGATTCATTTCCCATCTTGATCCCACTAAATCTCATCACCTAAAAGGGGTAATAGTTATAAGCACATAGCAGAGTGAGAAATATTATACAGTGAGTATAGGGGCACAAAATAGCCATGGATAGTTATTTAAGCTAAAACATTAACATAATTTGAGTTGAATACACAAATTAATTAAGCGGCAGAAACTGAAATAAATAACTATAACCACGGTGCAGGACAGAATAGAACATGGGTCACTAGAGTAACAATCAGAACAGGGGTCAATGGATCCATGACAAACAGGGGACCACAAAGTGATCAAACAGGGGCCAATGGTTATTTAAGTCCCCCAAGGCATGGGACTCTCGTGGTGGTACTTACGAAAAATAATTGTTTACAAGATCATTGTCAAATAATTTCTAAAATTTAAACAAACATATCCATGGGTTTTAATTTACGCAAATAGAGTTTAGAAAATAATCCACGTAATTGAAACATTAACCTAATCATAAAACATAAATTATATAAAATAAATTGTGGTAACTCAAAACATTCGTAAAATATATTATGGTAACTCAAGACATGTAGAAAACACATTATGGTAACTCAAGGTATAATAAAACTCACATTGTTATTATTTCCTTGCGCTCCCTCTATTTCTCCGAGCCTTTCTATTTGGTTGCCTACTACTTCCTTCCTACTTCGTTGGTTCTCCTACCTCCTATGGAGTCCCTATTTATAAGCTCTCAACTTGTTTGCCACGCAAGATTCCCTAAGCCAAATACTGACACGTTGGTTTTGTGCTGGCCTTAAGGAGTAATGCCATCTGTAGTGGCCTTGGGTCCTTCTTTTTTTTTTTATTTATTATTAATTTAACCTTATGAAGTTACCAAGGACCAAATCAACCTTTGGCTCCCAAGTAACCATAGCCCATAGAAATCTAACACGGTTTTGTTGTTTTTGTTGTTGATGTTGTTGTTTTTGTTGTTTATTATTATTATTATTATTATTATTATTATTATTATTATTATTATATATTTTTAATAATTCTATTTATTGCAGTATTGAATAAAATTTATAAATTCGGGCGTCACATTTCTCCTCTCCTTAAAAGAAGTTTGTCCCCAAACTTGACGTACCTCGATTTTCGAAGAGGTGTGGGTACTTGGCTTGCATTTGACTGTCAGTTTCTCACGTTGCTTCTTCGACACGATGATTTCTCCATAAGACTTTTACGAGAGGTATAGTCTTATTTCGAAGGACCTGATCACGACGGTCAAAAATCTATACAGGTTGTTCTTCATAAGAGAGGTCTTCTTGCACTTCTAAGTTCTCATAATTAGCAACATGCTTTGGATCCCGAAGATATCACCGAAGCATCGAAACGTGAAACACATTGTGGACATTGGATAGTTCGGGTGGAAGCGCAAGGCGATATGCCACAGAACCAATCCTTTCGAGTATCTCGAATGGGCCGATGTAATGTGGGTTTAACTTTTCTCGCTTTCCAAATCCGATAACCCCTTTTGTTGGTGAGACCTTTAGGAACACATGATCGCCTATTTGAAATTCTAAGTCTGGTCTTCATGTATTTGCATAGCTTTTCTGGCGGCTCTAGGCAGTGTGAATTCGCTGCTGGATAAGTTGAATCTTATCACTTGTGATTTGTACGACTTCGGGGCGTAATAATTTCCTGTCTCCGATTTCCATCCAACGCGGAGGTGATCGACATCTCCTTCCATACAGTGCTTCGTACGGTGCCATTCCAATACTTGCATGATAATTGTTATTATACGCGAACTCCACCAACGGTAGATGATCATCCCAGTTACCTTTGAGGTCTAGCACACACAAACGTAACATATCTTCCAAAGTCTGGATCGTCCTTTCAGATTGGCCATCAGTTTGTGGGTGATAAGCCGTGCTAAACTTCAGAGTGGTTCCCAAAGCTTCTTGCAATTTGTTCCAGAAGTGAGACACAAAGCGGGGGTCTCTATCGGATAAGATTGAAACTGGGGTGCCGTGTAAACGAATGATTTCCTTAATGTATAGAGTGGCGAACTTAGAGAGGGAGTACATGATTCTGATTGGTAGAAACTGCGCCGACTTCGTCAATCGATCTATGATAACCCATATTGCATCATTCTTCGAGACTGATTGGGGTAGCCCGACCACGAAGTCCATAGTAATATGCTCCCATTTCCATTCAGGAATAGGGAGTAGTTGCAACATTCTTGCAGGTCTCTGATGTTCTGCATTAACTCGTTGACAACGCAGGCATTTGGAGACATGGCTTGCTATGTCTTTCTTCATTCTTGTCCACCAGAAGTGTTCCTTCAGATCGTGATACATCTTCGTATTGCCAGGATGGATCACAAACCTCGAGCTATGAGCTTCCACCAATATCCTTTTCTTAAGTTCTAGAAGGTCGGGTATGCAAATTCGATTCCAAAATTTTAGCATCCCATTGCTTATTGTGAAGTCAGGATTAGGCGTACTCCCTTGTTCTTCGTACTTTTTCTTCAAAAGTTTACCTTCACATTGGCGGATTCTAATTTCTTCAATCAACACGGGTTCCACGATTATGTTGGTGAGCAGTCCATTGATCTTGCAGGAAACGAGGGTACATGCTAAACCTCTGGTCGTTTTTTGACTTAATGCGTCTGCTACTACGTTAGTTTTGCCGGGATGGTGATGGATCTCTATACCATAGTCCTTCATAAATTCTAGCCATCGTCGTTGCCTCATATTCAATTCCTTCTGTATAAACAGATATTTGAGACTCTTGTGATCAGTATAAATCTCACAGGTTGCACCGTAGAGATAATGACGCCAGATCTTGAGGGCGAAGATCACCGCAGCCAATTCCAGATCATGAGTTGGGTAGTTCCTTTTGTGAGTCTTTAGTTAGCGGGTTTGGAGTATATAAGAATGTCGTCGATAAAGACAATGAAGAACTCGTCAAGATAGGGTTTGAACAGTCGATTCATGAGGTCCATGAAGGCCGCTGGAGCATTTGTGACGCCAAATGGCATGACGAGAAACTCGTAGTGCCCGTAACGAGTTCTAAAGGCAGTCTTTTCGATGCTTTCTATTTTGACTTTTAGTTGATGGTAGCTAGAACGCAAGTCAATTTTTGAGAATACTTGGGCCCCTTGCAGTTGGTCAAACAAGTCGTCAATTCGTGGTAGAGGGTACCGATTCTTGATGGTGACTTTGTTTAGCTCCCGGTAATCGATGCATGGTCTCATTGTACCATCCTTTTTCTTTACGAACAGTACTGGAGCTCTCCATGGTGAGATACCTGGTCGGATGAAGCCTTTGTCCAGTAGTTCTTGGAGTTGGGTATTTAGTTCTTTCAATTCTGTCATGGACATGCGGTAAGGGGCCTTTGAGATTGGTTGTGTACCAGGATGGGTTTCAATGGTGAATTCGATTTTCCAGTCAACTGGGGTACCAGGCAGGTCTTCAGGAAATACATTCGGGAATTCTCGAACCACAGGGATTGCATCAAGTGTGGGAGTCTCTTGTTGAGTATCAATCACATAGCAGACACAACCACAACAACCCTTTCTTAGCAGTCGTTGGGCTGTCATGAAGGATATAATACATGGAAGGGAAGAGGCTCCAGTTCCTTCGAAGACAAGCTCAAGTTGGTTTGGTGACTGGAAGAAGACCTTTTTGGCTTCACAATCAATAGAGGCACGGTGGGCAGCTAACCAATCCATTCCTAAGATCAGATCAAAGGTACTAATGCAGAGGGGAATCAAATCTATATATAAGGTTTCACCTTTTAAGGATATAGTACAAGATTTGTACACATTAGTGCTAAGGGTGGAATTACCAGAAGGAAAAGACATGGACAATACATACCCTAATGGTTCGGGTGTTGATGCCAACTTGGTAGCAAAGTGTGGTGTAACAAAAGAATGAGTTGAACCAGAGTCAAAGAGAACATGGGCTAAGTGACCACAAATAGAAAGTGTACCTGTTATGACGTTCTTTGTAACTTCTGGGTTTCCAGGCACCAAGGCAAAAGCTCTTCCTTGGCGTTTTTGATCTTTTCTCACTCTTCCAAGTATTGCGGGTTTTCGGACTGGTTTAAAGGGGCCGGCTGTAGGACTGGCGAGCTTTGGACAATCTATCAGCAAATGGCCAACTTGACCACATCTAAAGCATGCTCCCGTATCTCGACGACATTGTCCCCAATGAGTCCTTCTACAGGTAGTGCAAGCTGGAATGGTACCACCTCTGGGGTTTGTAGGACCTTGATTGCTTGAATTGATTGAACTGGTTGCGCCCGTGTTTACTCTCTTGGGAGGCACGACACCGGGTCTTCTGTTATCTCTTTCCTAAAATTGCTTCCTCTGGCTTGGTTCCCCGGAAGCGCAAGGCTTTAATCCCTTTTTCTGCAATGTAAACTCGATCTACCACCGCCGCATAGGTTGGTAGTTTCAAAACCTCCAGCCTGTCCTTAATTTCAGGATCCAATCCTGCTTCAAATTTTCTGGCTTTTCGAGCTTCGGTGGGGATGACGTATGTCGCAAACCAGGTCAGCTGCGTGAACTTGCTCTGGTATTCGGCCACCGTCATGGTTTCTTGCCTTAGATGTATGAATTCTGACGCCTTTTGTTCTCGAAGCGAGTCTGGGAAGTATTTTTCATAGAATACTTCCAAGAATCTGGCCCAAGTCACAACATCTTCTTTCTCTAGGTTAAGTAGCCACCATTCTTGTGCATCGTCTTTGAAGGTGAAGGTGGCGAAAGTCACCTTCTGTCTTTCTGTGCAAGGTAGCGCGCGGAAAATTTTCTCCATATCTCTGACCCAAGGTTCTGCCACCAGTGGGTATGTGCTGCCAGTAAATATGGTAGGTTTCAAGTCCTAGAACTGTTTTATAGTAGTTGGCTCTTCTCGTCGTTCAGGTAATCCGCTGTTAACGTTGGTTTGTAGGGCTCGCAGAAAACTAGTAACTACTTTTTCCATGATTTGCTCCATTGGATTAGTACCATTGACCGATGATCTGGTTCCATTTCCATCATTAGCCATCAGTACAAGGTGAAAACGGTTAGTGGACTTCCCTTTTTATTGTTGTTGTTGTTGTTGTTGTTGTTTTTTTTTTTTTTTTTTTGAATCAATTATTATTGCAATATTATATCTATGATTCATAATGATCCTATAACATCATATATATCCAATATATACATCATTACATAATACTGGTTTTACTTATATAAGGAAAAGATATCAGTACAACATACTTAGATAACGATCAAGTGTTAGTGTCTAATCCTACTGATACAAAATTGGATTAGGCTAATCATGGTTAGGTCACAAAAGGATCTCCTGGTCGGACATCTAGAAGGGGCCATTAGGCCACCACCATGAGAACTGACTCCGGAAAACTGGCCCATGAAATAACCCCGCAAACTCACTCTGCATGAGGGACTCGAACTCCCACTCACTGTGCTCTATTCCAAAGCAACTCCATACCACATGGACTATGTAAACAGGAACACCATGATCATAACCCCAAAACTCCCGTCCGGTAATTTGTACCGGTACCTCCAAGTATGATGCACTGTCAGTGAAGTCTGCAGCTGAGGCATGGACAATGTGTTGTGGAGGAGGTGTCGTGGTACAGATGTGGCTGTTAGGATACGCGTGTCCTCTCCTCTCCACAAAGCCTAGGGGTACAAGTGCGACCAGAAAATGCAGTTGTTTTAGGTCCAGAGCAAAACCAAAGACATGGGTCGGTCCTATGTACCTCTCACGAGTTTTGCCTCGGCTAAGTCTCTAGAATAAGAAATCCTCATCGGGGTTCGCCTGCAAATACATGGGTTGTCCCATGAGTCGGTCGAGTGCCGGTGGGCTTGCCTGACAAGACTCTCCGAATCACCCCAGCCCTCTAATAAGTTTGGGACAAGATGAGCTCCTGGGGGCTTGAACCAAAACAACTCCATAAGGTTGGCCATTTCCTACAACACAGGAAAACTTAGCCTAGACATTATAACATGGTTTACTTGTGTTAGACATACCACATAATATCAAATAATACAAGGTTAATAATTTTCTTTTTGAAATATATATATATATATATATATATATATATATTTTGCAATTCAAATAATGTGAATGTCAATTAATGTAAATAAAATTAATGTGAATAAGTGTACAAGAAATTTCAAAAACATACAATTTTGTTTTATAAATTGTTTTGCTAGAATTGAAACATTAACCTAACCATAAAACATAAATTACATAAAATAAATTGTGGTAACTTAAAACATTCGTAAAATATGTTATGGTAACTTAAGACATGTAGAAAACACATTATGATAACTCAAGGTATAATAAAACTCACCTCTAATATAAATTTATCCCCATTTTCCTGTGCTACCGAACCTCCTGTGCTATTCCTTCTTCTACTCTTTTCGTTGATTGTCGTCCTTGTTTCTACTATAACGCCCTATTTATATGCATCAATTCTTGGGGCCCGAGTTGATTACGTGGTCTCAGAAGGCACCACCTGGCCTGTCTCTTGACTCTTGCTTTGCCAAGTGTCCAAAGGTCATCTAAACTTCACCAAATGTCCAAAGGTCATCTAATTCATTGGCTCTAGGAGATAAGGGTTGGCTTCTTATAATTCTAAGGGTTGTCACCCTTTTTGGTAATCCACAATGATCCCTAAAAATTTCTTATGATTATAGGTTAGGTTCATGTCTAAAAACCTTACCACCCAACTATAAAACATCACTTACCACTCACTAAAACATTTAACGTGCGGTGCCTCACATTTTATTTCCTTAACAATTTAACTATGCATTATTTATTTATTCATTTAATTATTTTTATTTTTATTTAATTATTTATTTAATTATTATTATTATTTATTTATTTTTTGAGTTCTATTTATTGCAATATTAAAATTAAAAAGCAAATAGATTACCAAAGAGAATAATAACCCTTGCAAAAGACTTAAGGGACTCTTGGTAAATGACAAGGGTCAAACCAAGAGGTAAATAAGAGGGCAAACCAAGAGGTAAATCATGGGAGAGGGCAAGGGGTGAGAAGCTGTCATGTATGTTCTACGTGTGATGTCCTTTGCTTGGGCCTCACATATTGGGTGGGTATAAATAATGAGGTGAAGTCGATAAGGAAGCACCAAAATGAAGTAAAGGAGAAGGAGCGTAGCAAGTAAGGTTCGGGAGCACAGTGATAATAAGAGTAATTTATATAGGTGAGTTATATTATACCTTGAGCTACCATATCATGTTTTAAATATGTCTTGAGTTACCATAATATATTTTACGAATGTTTTGAGTTACCACAATTTATTTTATATATTTTATGTTTTATGGTTACGTTAATGTTTCAGTTACGTAGATTATTATCTGAACTCTGTTTACTTAAATTAGAACCCATGGATATGTCTGTTTAACTTTTAATAATTATTTGACGATGATTTTGTAAACAATCATTTTCTGTAAGTATCACCACGGGAGTTCCATGCCTTGGGGGACTTAAATAGCCCTTGACCCCTGTTTGGCTACTTTTTGGTCCTCTGCTTATCATGGATCCATTGACCCCTGTTCTGATTGTCACTCCAATGACCCCTGTTATGTTCTGTACCGTGGTTATAGTTATTTACGTAATTTCTGTATTTCAGCTTCTGCCACTAAATTAATTTGTTTAGTCAACTTAAATTATATTAATGTTTTAGCTTAAATAACTATTCATGGCTATTTTGTGCCCCTATACTCAGAGTATAATATTTCTCACTCTGCTATGTGCTTATAGTTGTTATCCCTTTCAGGTGGCGAGATTTAGCGGAATCAAGATAGGGGATAAATCATAGAGTTTTCTTTTTTTTTTTTTTTTCTTCTTTATCTGTATTTTTGGTTGGACTCTTGTAATAAAATAAAAGCCTAAATGACTATTTTGTTTCTTTTTAACAAACTTTTGGTGCCTGATTATTTTATTTTAATTTATTTAATTTATTCGTTGTGCTACTACTACAGAAATTTGCGATTCCAAGCCTTTGGGTATCGGGTTTGGATTGTGACAAAAGTGGTATCAAAACTTTTACAAAAAAACAAAAAAAACAAAAAAACAAAAAACAAAACCCTGGGTTTGTATTAATAAAAAAAATATATAGTCATAGAATAAAAATAAATAAATACTATATTTTGTCCAACATCATAATTGTTTAATTATATATATATTGTCATAATATAAAATAAATAAATAAAAATTGTGTGCAACATGATTTAAATAAATATTGGGTAGGCTAAGTTTTCATGTGTTGTAGGACATGGCACACCAAGAAGAATTGATTTGGTTCGAGCCCCAGGGAGCGTATCTTGCCACTAACTTATTAGAGGGATGAGGAGATTCAGAAAGCACTATCGGACAGACCCATCCCGACCTTGACTGACTCATGGGGAGGCCAGTATATTTGCAGGCCAATCCTGACGATGACTACTTGTTTTGGAGACTTAGCTGAGCTAGCACCCGAGAGAGATACATTGGGTTGACGCATGTCGTTAGATTGGTACATCCGCATTTCTTAGTTGCTCCCTTACCCTCAGGCTTTGCCGAGAGGAGAGGGAATATATACCTTGGTAGCCACATTCGCACTACGACACCTCCTCCATAACACATTGTCCAGGCCCCAACTGTGGACTACACTAATAGTACCACATACTTAGAGATACCTGTGCGGCTCACTGGGCGACAGTTTTGGGGATATGACCACGATGTACTGTCCTACATGGCCCAGGTAGTTTGGCGTTGCTTTGGGATTGAGCTCGGTGGATGGAAGTTTGAGTCCCTTGTGCAGCAGGAGTTCCCATGGCTGTTCCACAGCCTAGTCTTCCAAAGCCAGTTTTCGTGGGGGCTTAGTGACTTATTCTAGGAGCATGACCGAGAGATGTCGCTGATCTTTTTTTTTTTTTTTGGAGCTGACAATGACTAGTCTAATCCTTCTGTTGACTAGTCTAATCCTTATATTTTTGTATCAGTAGGATTAGACATTAACTCTTGACAACTGGACTAACGCCTTATGTATAGTAACAATGATGTATATATGATGTTTTATATGGTATTAATGTGGTAATATTAATGTGATAGTAAAACTAGTAAAACTAATACATTATATATGATGTTGTATCAATGTGATATCACGCTTATATCATTTTACCTTGTAGTAATGGCCAACGATGGAAATGAAACCGGATCATCAGTCAGTGGTACCATCCCAATGGAGCAAATCATGGAAAGAGCAGTCACTAACTTTTTGCAGGCCTTGCAAACCAGCATGACCAATGGGACACCAAAGCGACGAGAAGAGCCAACTACGATTAAACAATTTCAGGATCTGAAACCCAACACGTTTATCGGCGGTCCAAACCCACTAGTGGCAGAAGCTTGGGTTAGGGACGTGGAGAAAATCCTCCGCACGCTACCTTGCACAGAGAGACAGAAGGTAGCCTTCGCCACATTCACCTTCAAAGACGATGCACAAGAATGGTGACTTCTTATCCTGGAGAAAGAAGATATTGTTACTTGGGTAAGATTCCTGGAGGTATTCTATGCAAAATACTTCCCAGATTTGCTGTGGGAACAAAAGGCGGCCGAATTCATACATCTAAGGCAAGAAACCATGACGGTGGCTGAATACGAGAGCAAGTTCACACAATTGGCTCGATTTGCGACATACGTCATCCCCACCGAAGCTCGAAAAGCCAAGAAATTCGAAGCAAGATTGGATGTTGAAATCAAGGACAGGCTGGAGGTTTTGAAACTACTAACCTATGCAGAGGTGGTGGATTGAGCATACATTGCGGAAAAGGGGATTAAAGCTTTGCACTCCGGGTAACCAAGCCAATGGAAGCAATTTTGGGAAAGAGATAATAGAAGACTCTGTGTCGTATCTCCCAAGAGGGTAAATACGGGCACAACCAGTTCAACCAGTTCAAGTAATCAAGGTCCTACAAATCCCAGAGGTGGCACCATTCAAACTTGCTTTACTTGTGGAAGGATTCATTGGGGACAATGCTATCGAGACACGGGAGCATGCTTTAGATGTGGCCAAGTTGACCACTTGTTGAGAGATTGTCCAAAGTTTACCAGTCCTACAGCCGGCCCCTCTAAACCAGTCCAAAAACCCGCGGTACCTGGAGGAGTGAGGAAGGATCAAAAAAGCCAAGGAAGGGCCTTTGCCCTGGTGCCTAGAAACCTAGAAGTTACAGAGAACGTTGTGTCAGGTACACTTTCTATTTGTGGTCACTTAGCTCATGTTCTTTTCGACTCTAGTTCAACTTATTCTTTTGTTACACCACACTTTGTTGACAAGATGGCATTAACACCTGAACCGTTAGGATATATACTATTTGTATCTTTTCCTTCTGGTAACTCCGCCTTTAGTACTGATGTGTACAAATCTTGTACGGTATCCTTAAAAGGGGACACCTTACACGTAGACTTAATTCCCCTCTGCTTTAGTACCTTTGATGTGATCTTAGGAATGGATTGGTTAGCTGCCAATCATGCCTCTATTGATTATGAAGCCAAAAACATATTCCTTCGGTCACCAAACCAGCTCGAGCTTGTCTTCAAAGGAATTGGAGTCTCTCTCCCTCCATGTGTTATATCCTTCATGACAGCCCAACGACTTCTAAGAAAAGGTTGTTGTAGTTATATCTATTATGTAATCAATACTCAACAAGAGGCCTCCATACTTGATGCAATCCCTGTGGTTCGAGAATTCCCGGATGTATTTCTCGAAGACCTACCTGGTACCTCGGTTGACCGAGAAATCCAATTCACCATTGCAACCTAACTTGGTACACAACCAATCTCAAAAGCCCTTTACCGTATGTCCCTGATAGAATTAAAAGAGCTGAAGACTCAACTTCAGGAACTATTGGACAAAGGTTTCATTCGACCAAGTACCTCATCATAGAAAGCTCCGTTACTATTCGTAAAGAAAAAGGATGGCACGATGAGGTTATGCATCGATTACCGTGAGCTAAACAAAGTCACCATCAGAAATCGGTACCCTCTGCCATGAATTGACAATTTGTTCGATTAACTGCAAGGCGCTCAAGTATTCTCAAAAATTGACTTGCGTTTTGGCTACCATCAACTAAATGTCAAAACGAAAAGCATCGAAAAGATTACCTTCAGAACCCGTTACGGACACTATGAGTTTCTCGTCATGCTATTTTACGTCACAAATGCTCCAGCGGCCTTCATGGACCTCATGAATCGAGTGTTCAAACCCTATTTTAATGAGTTCGTCATTGTCTTCATTGACGACATTCTCATATACTCCAAATCGCCAGAAGATCATGAACACCCTTTGCGAAGAGTTCTACAGACACTACGTGATCACAAGCTTTATTCCAAATTGAAGAAATGCGAATTCTAGATCACTAGTGTACACTTCCTCGGTCACGTCATTAACAAAGACGACATTTCAGTTGACTCCCAAGAGGTTGCAGCAATCGTGAATTAGCCACAACCTACTAACATGTCTGATATTCGTAGCATCTTAGGTCTAGCCGGCTATTACTGGTGCTTCGTGCAAGATTTCTTGAAGATAGCATCACCCTTAACCAAGCTAACTCAGGAGAACACACCCTTTCTATGGACGGAGACGCAAGAACGTTGCTTCCAAGAATTGAAGAACAGATTCGTGACAGCTCCTATACTAGCACTCCTCCCGAATTTTTAATTTAATACCATGATTATATTAGTTACTTATATGATATATATATATATATATATATATATATGTATAAAAATAATAATAATAATAAATAAAGAAATAAAGAAATAAATAAATACATATATAATTGAATACAATTCTTAGTCTAATATTGTAAATCTTTGTTAAAGGGATAGATTGTGGGACACCGCATTTTAAGTATTAAATATTTTAGTAAGCAGTTAGTGATGTTTTATAGTTTGGTAGTAAGATTTTTGGACGTGAACCCAGCTTATAATCATACATAATTTTAGGGATCATTATGGATTACCCAACAGGGTAATAACCCTTACAAAAGACCTAAGTGACTCTTGGTAAAAGACAAGGGTCAAACCAAGAGGTAAATTAGGGGGCAAACCAAGAGGTACATCAGGGAGGAGGGCAAGGGGTGAGAAGCTGCCAGATGTGTTCTACGTGTGATGTCCTTTGCTTGGACCTCACACATTGGATAGGTATAAATAATGAGGTGAAGTCGATAAGGAAGCACCAAAATGAAGTAAAGGAGAAGGAGCGTAGCAAGTAAGGTTCGGGAGCACAGTGATAATAAGAGTAATTTATATGGGTGAGTTATATTATACCTTGAGCTACCATATCATGTTTTAAATATGTCTTGAGTTACCATAATATATTTTACGAATGTTTTGAGTTACACAATTTATTTTATATAATTTATGTTTTATGGTTACGTTAATGTTTCAATTACGTAGATTATTTTCTGAACTCTATTTGCTTAAATTGAAACTCATGGATATGTCTGTTTAACTTTTAATAATTATTTGACAATTATTTTGTAAATAATTATTTTCTGTAAGTATTACCACGGGAGTCTAATACCTTGGGGGACTTAAATAAACCTTGGCCCCTGTTTGGCTACTTTGTGGTCCTCTATTTATCATGAATCCATTGACCCTTGTTTTGATTGTCACTCTAGTGACCCCTGTTCTGTTCTATTCTGTACCGTGATTATAGTTATTTACGTAATTTCTGTATTTCAGTTTCTGGCACTAAATTAATTTGTTTAGTCAACTTAAATTATGTTAATGTTTTAGATTAAATAACTATCCATGGCTATTTTGTGCTCCTATACTCACAGTATAATTTTTGTCACTCTGCTATGTACTTATAGCTGTTACCCTTTTCAGGTGGCGAGATTTAGCAGAATCAAAATGGGGGATAAATTACAAAGTTTTCCTTTTTTCTTTCTTTATATGTATTTTTGGTTGGACTTTTGTAATAAAATAAAAGCTCAAATGACTACTTTGTTTCTTTTTAACAAACTTTTGGTACCCGATTGTTTTATTTTAATTTATTTAATTTATCCATTGCGCTACTACTTCAGAAATTTTAGAATTATTTTATTTTTATCTTGTTGCGATGCCAAGTCTTTGGGTACGAGGTTTGGATTGTGACAAAAGTGGTATCAGAGCTTTTACCAAAAAAAAAAAAAAAAAAACAAACTCTGAGTGTCTATTAATAAAAACATATATATTGTCATAGAATAAAAATAAATAAATACTATATTTTGTTCGACATCATATTTGTTTAATTATATATATATTGTCATAATATAAAATGAATAAATAAAATATTATGTCCAACATGATTTAAATAAATATTAGGTTGACTAAGTTTTCCTGTGTTGTAAGACATGGTACATCAGGAAGAATTGATTTGGTTCGAGCCTCAAGGAGCGCATCTAGCCCCACCCCTAACTTATTAGAGGGATGAGGAGACTCAGAAAGCACTATCAGATAGACCCACCCCGACCTTGACCGACTCATGGGGAGGCTAGTATATTTGCAAGCTGACCGTGACGAGCACTACCTGTTTTGGAGACTTAGCCGGGCTAGCACCTGAGAGATATACATTGGGCCGACGTACGTCGTCGGATTGGTACATCCGCATTTATTAGTTGCTCCCTTACCCCCAGGCTTTGCCTAGAGGAGAGGGAATACATACCCTAGCAGCCACATTCGCACTACGACACCTCCTCCACAACACATTGTCCAGACCCTAGCTGTGGACTACGCTAACAGTACCACATACTTAGAGATACCTGTACGGCTAACTGGGCGGCAGTTTTGTGGATATGTCCACAGTGTACTGACCTACATGGCCCAGGTAGTTTAGCGCTGTCTTGGGATTGAGCTCAGTGGATGGGAGTTTGAGTCCCTCGTGTAGCAGAAGTTCCCATGGCTGTTCAACGACCCAGTCTTCCAAAGCCAGTTTTCGTGGGGGCTCAGTGACCTATTCTAGGAGCATGACCGAGAGATGTCACTGATCCTTTTTTTTGGAGCTGACAATGACTAGTCTAATCCTTCTATTTTTCTATTAGTAGGATTAGACATTAACTCTTGACGACTGGACTAACGCCTTATGTATAGTAACAATGATGTATACATGATGTTTTATGTGGTGTTAATGTGGTAATATTAATGTGATAGTAAAACTAGTAGAACTAATACGTTATATATGACGTTGTATCAATGTGATGTCACGCGTATATCATTTTACCTTGTAGTAATGGCCAGGGATGGAAATGAAATCGGGTCATCAGTCAGTGGTACCATCTCAATGGAGCAAATCATGGGAAGAGCAGTCACCAACTTTTTGTAGGCCTTGCAAACCAGCATAACCAATGGGACATCAAAGAGACTGAGAAGAACCAACTACGATTAAGCAATTTCCAGATCTGAAACCCACCACGTTTATCGGTGGCCCAAACCCACTAGTGACGGAAGCTTGTGTTAGGGACATGGAGAAAATCTTTCGCGCGCTACCTTGCACAGAGAGACAGAAGGTAGCCTTCGCCACATTTACCTTCAAAGACGATGCACAAGAATGGTGGCTTCTTATCCTGGAGAAAGAAGATATTGTTACTTGGGTAAGATTCTTGGAGGTATTCTATGCAAAATACTTCCCAGATTTGCTGCGGGAACAAAAGGCGGCCAAATTCATACATCTAAGGCAAGAAACCATGACGGTGGCTGAATACGAGAGCAAGTTCACACAATTGGCTCGATTTGCGACATACGTCATCCCCACCGAAGCTCGAAAAGCCAGGAAATTCGAAGCAGGATTGGATGTTGAAATCAAGGACATGTTGGAGGTTTTGAAACTACCAACCTATGCAGAGGTGGTGGATCGAACATACATTGCGGAAAAGGGGATTAAAGGCTTGCACTTTGGGAAACCAAGCCGAAGGAAGCGATTTTGGGAAAGAGATAACAGAAGACCCGGTGTTGCGCCTCCCAAGAGGGTAAATACGAGCACAACTAATTCAATTAGTTCAAGCAATCAAGGTCCTACAAATCCCAAAGGTGGCACCATTCCAACTTGTTCTACTTGTGGAAGGATTCATTGGGGACAATGCCGTCGAGACATGGGAGCATGCTTTAGATGTGGCCAAGTTGGCCACTTGCTGAGAGATTGTCCAAAGCTTGCCAGTCCTACAGCCAGCCCCTTTGAACCAGTCTGAAAACCCACGGTACCTGGAGGAGTGAGAAAGGACCAAAAAGGCCAAGGAAGAGCTTTTGCCTTGGTGCTTGAAAACTCAGAAGTTACTGAGAATGTCGTGTCAGGTACACTTTTTGTTTGTGGTCACTTAGCTCACCGTGTTTTTTTTTTTTTTTTTTGTACTATCTGTATTTCTAATTGGACACCTGGAATAAAATAAAAGCCCAAATGACTATGTTTATTTCCTTTTAATAAACATTTGGTACCAAATTATTTTATTTTAATTTATTTAATTTATCTGCTTATGCTATGACTACAAAATTTTTAGAATTATTTTATTTTTATCTTGTTACGACGCTGAACCTTTGGGTACCGAGTTTGGGTCGTAACAAAAGTGGTATCAGAGCAATGATTTCTTTTCTCTAAATAAAATTAGTATATGTTGTTAAATTTTTCCGTAGAGTTACACATTATTTGAAATTCACATTATTTGAATTGAAAATTATTTCAAAAAAAAAACAAAACCTTGAGTGTCTATTAATGAAAATATATATATTGTCATAAAACAAAAATAAGTAAATACTATATTTTGTCCAACATCATAATTGTTTAATTATATACATATATATATATTGTTATAATATAAAATAAATAAATAAAATATTGTGTCCAATATGATTTAAATAAATATTAGGTAGGCTAAGTTTTCCTGTGTTGTAGGACATGGCACACCAGGAAGAATTGATTTGGTTCGAGCCCCAAGGAGCGCATCTGGCCCCACCCCTAACTTATTAGAGGGATGAGGAGACTCAGAAAGCACTATCGGACAGACCCACCCCGACCTTGACCGACTCATGGGGAGGCTAGTATATTTGCAAGCCGACCCTGACGAGCACTACCTATTTTGGAGACTTAGCCGGGCTAGCACTCGAGAGATATACATTGGGCCGACGTACATTGTCGGATTGGTACATCCGCATTTATTAGTTGCTCCCTTACCCCCAGGCTTTGCCTAGAGGAGAGGGAATATATACCTTAGCAGCCACATTCGCACTACGACACCTCTTCCACAACACATTGTCCAGACCCTAGCTGTGGACTACGCTAACAGTACCATATACTTAGAGATACCTGTGCGGCTCACTGGGCGGCAATTTTGGGGATATGTCCACGGTGTACTGACCTACATGGCCCGGGTAGTTTAGCGCTGTTTTGGGATTGAGCTCAGTGGATGGGAGTTTAAGTCCCTCGTGTAGCAGAAGTTCCCATGGCTGTTCAACGACCCAGTCTTCCAAAGCCAATTTTCGTGGGGGCTCAGTGACCTATTCTAGGAGCATGACCGAGAGATGTCACTGATCTTTTTTTTTGGAGCTGACAATGACTAGTCTAATCCTTATATTTTTCTATTAGTAGGATTAGACATTAACTCTTGACGACTGGACTAACGCCTGATGTATAGTAACAATGATGTATACATGATGTTTTATGTGGTGTTAATGTTGTAATATTAATGTGATAGTAAAACTAGTAGAACTAATACGTTATATATGACGTTGTATCAATGTGATGTCACGCTTATATCATTTTACCTTGTAGTAATGGCCAGCGATGGAAATGAAATCGGGTCATCAGTCAGTGGTACCATCCCAATGAAGCAAATCATGGAAAGAGCAGTCACCAACTTTTTGCAGGCCTTGCAAACCAGCATAACCAATGGGACATCAAAGAGACGAGAAAAACCAACTACGATTAAGCAATTTCAGGATCTGAAACCCACCACGTTTATCGGTGGTCCAAACCCACTAGTGACGGAAGCTTATGTTAGGGACATGGAGAAAATCTTTCGCGCACTACCTTGCACAGAGAGACAGAAGGTAGCCTTCGCCACATTCACCTTCAAAGACGATGCACAAGAATGGTGGCTTCTTATCTTGGAGAAAGAATATATTGTTACTTGGGTAAGATTCTTGGAGGTATTCTATGCAAAATACTTCCCAGATTCGCTACGGGAACAAAAGGCGGCCGAATTCACACATCTAAGGCAAGAAACCATGACGGTGGCTGAATACGAGAGCAAGTTCACACAACTGGCTCGATTTGCGACATACGTCATCCCCACCGAAGCTCGAAAAGCCAGGAAATTCGAAGCAGGATTGGATGCTGAAATCAAGGACATGTTGGAGGTTTTGAAACTACCAACCTATGCAAAGGTGGTGGATCGAACATACATTGCGGAAAAGGGGATTAAAGGCTTGCGCTCTGGGAAACCAAGCCAAAGGAAGCGATTTTGGGGAAGAGATAACAGAAGACCCGGTGTCACGCCTCCCAAGAGGGTAAATACGGGCACAACTAATTCAATTAGTTCAAGCAATCAAGGTCCTACAAATCCCAAAGGTGGCACCATTCCAACTTGTTCTACTTATGGAAGGATTCATTGGGGACAATGCCGTCGAGACATGGGAGCATGCTTTAGATGTGGCCAAGTTGGCCACTTGCTGAGAGATTGTCCAAAGCTTACCAGTCCTACAAACTTGACATACCGTAGTTTTCGAAGTGGTGTGAGCATTTGGCTCGCATTTGGCTTTCGGTTTCTTATGTTGCTTCTTCGACACAATAGTTTCTCCATAAGACTCTTACGAGAGGTATTGTCTTGTTTCGAAGGACCTAAACACGGCGATCAAGAATCTGTATAGGTTGTCCTTCATAAGAGAGGTCTTCTTGAACTTTTAGGTTCTCATAGTCGACAACATGTTTTGGATCTTGAAAATACCGTCGAAGTATCGAAACGTGAAACACATTGTGGACGTTGGATAATTCGGGTGGAAGCGCAAGGCGATATGCCACAGGACCAATCCTTTCTAGTATCTCGAATGGCCCGATGTAACGCGGGAACATCTCATTTTAAATTTTAAATATTTTAGTCAGCAGTAAGTGATGTTTTATAGTTTGGTAGTGAGATTTTTAGACGTGAACCTAACTTATAATCATACGTAATTTTAGGGATCATTGTGAATTACCAAAGAAGATGATAACCCTTACAAAAGACCTAAGTGACTCTTGGTAAAAGACAAGGGTCAAACTAAGAAGTAAATCAGGGGGCAAACCAAGAGGTAAATTAAGGGGGAGGGCAAGGGGTGAGAAGCTACCACGTGTGTTCTACGTGTGATGTCCTTTGCTTGGGCCTCACACATTGGGTGCATATAAATAATGAGGTGAAGCCGATAATGAAGCACCAAAACGAAGTAAAGGAGAAGGAGCGTAGCAAGTAAGGTTTGGGAGCACAGTGATAATAAGAGTAATTTATATGGGTGAGTTATATTATACCTTGAGCTACCATATCATGTTTTAAATGTGTCTTGAGTTACCATAATATATTTTATGAATGTTTTGAGTTACCACAATTTATTTTATATAATTTATGTTTTATAGTTACGTTAATGTTTCAATTACGTAGATTATTTTTTGAATTCTATTTACTTAAATTGAAACCCATGGATATGTCTGTTTAACTTTTAATAATTATTTGACAATGATTTTGTAAACAATTATTTTTTGTAAGTACCACCACGGGAGTTCCATGCGTTGGGGGATTTAAATAACCCTTGGCCCCTGTTTGGCCACTTTGTGGTTCTCTATTTGTCATGGATCTATTGACCCCTGTTCTGATTGTCACTCCAGTGACCCCTGTTCTGTTCTGTTCTGTTCTGTACTGTGGTTATAGTTATTTACGTAATTTCTGTATTTCAGTTTCTACCACTAAATTAATTTGTTTAGTCAACTTAAATTATGTTAATGTTTTACCTTAAATAACTATCCATGACTATTTTGTGCCCTTATACTCGCAGTATAATATTTCTCACTCTGCTATGTGCTTATAGCTGTTACCCCTTTCCGGTGGCGAGATTTAGCAGAATCAAGATAAGGGATAAATCACAGAGTTTTTTTTTTTTTTTTTTTTTTTTTTCTTTTTCTTTATCTGCATTTCTGGTTGGACTCTTGTAATAAAATGTAATAAAATAAAAACCCAAATAACTATTTTGTTTCTTTTTAACAAACTTTTGGTACCTGATTTATTTTTTACAACATCATCAATAGTAGGAGTACTGAGTCCCACAAAACTTAATTGGCGCAAAGTAGCTTTATATAAAGATTTTTTTTAAAATTTTTGATACTTCAACAAAAATTATTTTCTTATATATATATATATATTCCTGCTTCACCATTGTTTTATATATGTTAGCAGAAATAATTAAATTTTCATAAAATATATAGATAATGAATATTATGTAACTACTATTAATTCAATGAAAGCCAAAATTTGATAAATATTTTGATCTATTGTCTTATCTTTTAGGTTTAGCCATAATAACTGATCTTAGATGTAAAAAATTAATTTACAAGAATTTTTAAAACATATTTTCGCTGATCAAAAACATTTTGCCTCTATTATGCAAATATGCAAAACATTATTTGAAGAATACAGGGCACCTGCATCTGCAAATACACATATACACACTACACTAGCAGTCTCATCTCGAGGCGGGAGATTAAATGTTTTTTCCGCAATAAAAAGTAGAAGAATATCTGAACATACAAGTGTAAGTAGTTATGAACTACAACTTTATTTAGAAAGTCCATTAGTGGATGATTTCGAAAATTTTGACATTTTGGATTGGTAAAAACAAAATAAAACTATGTGGCCTGTGGTTTTATAGATGGCTCGGGATACTAACCGTTCCTATTTCTACAGCTGCTTCAGAAACAGTTTTTAATGCAGATGGACAGGTGCTGAATAATTATCGCAGCAGGCTTTTACCCCAAATGGTTGAGGCACTGATGATATTCAGAAATCATATACATGTGCTTACAAGAAGACAAGATTATAGTGAAAATGAGAGAATTCAAAATGATTTGGATACCATATCCTCAAGCAACATGATTGAATTGTCTTTCTCCTCTAATGATTGATCAATAATTTGTTTTTCACTACTTCATGTCGTTATTTTTGTGTATTAGATTATTGAGGTGGAGTATAATGTAAATAATTGGTAGGCTAGTAGATGCTAACCTAGTTGGGATCTACTTGACCTACAGTGATGAAATTGCTTTACCATCATTAATAATCTACATCTATTTTATTTAATGATATAAATTTTTGTAATATTTTATTTTATTTTGAAATAAAAATTATTCATTCAATAAATGTTATAAAATTAATTTAATGATTATAATATTAAAAATTTCATTTTCATATATATAAAATTATTCATTTCAAAAGAAAAAAATTACATAATTGCATACTTTTTTAATTATAAGTTCATAATTAAAAAACATAAGTCATACATAATTAAATTTAAATACCACCATGAAATATAACCAAACATCTCATTAATTTTAATTAAAATATTATAGCACAATTTGTTCTTTTATTTTTTTATCTATAATAAATAAACTACATAGTGAGAAGGACATTGAATGCAGGACGACAGGATCGATGGTATATAGGACGAAAAATGCTTGGAAGCATTAATTAGTACTCTCACTAATTAAGTGACAGTGGGTCTCGTCATAAATGATGCGATGTTTTGATCTTGGAGTTGTATTTTTTTTTTTTTACTTTTTTAATGCATTAGTGCTATTAGTGGTGATATTTTTAATGAGATGAATCATTGTTGAGGGGAGGGTGGTGAGGTGTGTGCTTGATGACGTGGGTGCTTGTGAGGGTTACACGCATAAGGGTTGACGTGGCTGACATTGCTGGGGCCTGTTGCCACGTGTAGGAAACTTGTGATTGAATCGTACTACACTTTCAGGCAAACAATTATCCACGGCAAAAATGTTCACTTAAAATTTATTTGGAATATATTTGTATGTGAAAATTAAATTGATGGAGTAACGTTAGAGGTTTTAAATATTTTATTAATATTTTTATTAAATATTTTATATAGATGTGAGATTTATATTTTTGTCAGATATTTAATAAAAATATTAATAAAATATTTAAATTCTTAATATTTTCCTTGATGAAATGTAAGGTATCTGAGTAAATAAATTTGAACTATTAATTTATTTTTTTGATTAAATTTTGAATTTATAAGTCTTAATTTGTAATGTTGTTGTATGCAGTGGGTGCCCGTCTAGCAATGGTTTGAATTTTTTGTATTGTGACACGTATTCAAAATTGTGTGTTAATTATAAAAATGAAAAATGATATATAATTTTATTTTTTAAACTTATTTTTTAGATCCAACAATATATAAGTAATATAATTTGTTGATACTTAGAGAAGTGGATCTAATTTTTGTCTTAAATGATAATGGACATGGTGTTATTGCTGTGCATCAAGCACATCAACAGTTGTTGTGCGGTCTGTGGGACTCGTTCTGAGTCTTATTTTGATGATTTGAACCGTTTAAATTTTAAAAAATATCGAGAAGAATGTACCTATAAAAAATTAAGTTAATCAGATATCAATAACTCTTTCATCAAAGCATATTTGTATATAAAAAAATAAATATGTATGTATCAAACTAAATACAAATGTGATTTGATAAAAGAGTTGTCGATATTCGATTAACTTAATTTTTTACGTTTAAATTATCAAAATAAAATGTAAAATAAATCTCATAGATCACACAACAATCATCACTGTGCAGCAAGCACAGTTGTGACCCTAAATACAATAATCATGCTCTTATAAAATTTAACAAGATTAAATGCTCTCCATTTTTTAGAGTTTGAAAAAAATAATAACGTAATTGGTTTATGATAATAATAACGTAACGATGCTCATGGCTTTTCCATCTAAAAACAAAGTGAGGGTTGTCTCTAGCATTAGCTGTTTTGGTTGGGTCTTGTGTTGTCTATCATACAGTTTGTTTAAAGAAAAATGTTTGAGGGTCACAATTTTTGTGGTCATAATGGCTTAAAATTGTCAAAATGACGTCGTTTTGGCATGTTTTGCACCCAAAATGACGTCGCTTTGACAGTTTTGAGCCATTGTGGTCACAAAAATTGTGACCCTCTGGCATTGTTGTTGTTTAAATGATTTGAATCATTTATTCACTGAGGGTTGTCTCTAGCATTAGCTGTTTTGGTTGGGTCCTGTGGAGTCTATCATGCAGTTTGTTTAAATGATTTGAATCATTTATTTTTCTATATTAAAGTGTTTTTTTTTTTTTTTTTGTGTGTGTGTGTGTGTTTTTCTCCGCAAAAGTATTCGCAAAAGACAAGTGAAAAGTATCTCAAGATTTTGCGACGAGAGTTTTGCTTTGAAACAATAAGTTTAAAAATACAAGTTATTTTGTTGGTTGGTTAATTGGCCAAAAACTTTTTTTTTTTTTTTTTTTTTTTTTTTTGATTTCAGCCATTACCAGCCCCCCACGTGGAGGTGGGGGTTGCTGGGGGTCTCCCCTGCTGGGGGTCTCCAGCAGGGCCCTTATATATAGATCATTCTCAAAAAAAAATTAATTTAATTTCATAATTATTGCTATATAATTTTATTATATTTGTTTTCAAAAAAATTAACAATAATTATAATTTTAAAGGGGAATTTATTAAGAAATCTTCTTTCAAGTACTTATATCTCAATTAGTGCATAACATATTCTTATATTTCACCAATCTTAGGTCAAGTGCTAACATATGATTGTGCTTCCTTTGCGGTACCAACCTAGTTGGGATTGTTGAGATTA